GTACCCGTCGTTCCTGTTTAAGCGGGTAGGCGACAACCCTGGCCATCAGTTGGTCGGATCTAACAGTCTGGCTGCTGGCGTGGACACACCGGATTCCATCCGAACTCCGAAGTTAAGCACGCGGGGCCCCGTGTAAAAGCGGGGTGGGTACCCCCTCTTTTTCACATTCTTTGAAAAATAATTTGGTGCGGGCGGGTTTGCCTATGCTCGCTGCCCACGGCTCCTTATGGCTCCGTGCGAGTAGGAAACCCGCCTTGCACGCGTGCATACGGTACGGTATAACTAAGAATGTGCGCAGGGTGAATCAGCCACCTGGTGTGTTAGGCTCTCGATAGCGCCTGCAACGCGCTGGGTAGGCCGACCCGTTGAGCAGGTGTGTCGAGCCAGCGGCCCAGCCTGGAGGCGTCCCGCCCCAGCGACTACGGCTACGGCATCCGCCCCGCCGGAGCCCCTGCTGGGTAGGCGCGCCCGCCGCGCTCGCCGCCATGGCGGGTGGCCTACCCCGCCGCTGTCAGGCGCTCGCTCCACCTCACTGGCTGCAGAGAGCGCGGCTCTCGCTCTATCTCCCTCCAGCCTCCCACTCGCTCTATAGATGACGTTGCCGACGAATGGCCCAGCTGCTGCTCTTCCACGGATCGCTGTGTTACGGCGACGACAAGGCCCAGCCTGGTGGTCTGTAGTTGCGGGCGACACAGTAAGCGACCACCAGGACACAGAGCACGGCTGTTTGTCGGAGTAGAGTGCCGGGCAGGCGAACACCAGTTTAGAGTTCCACAGAAGTGCTCTGGGTAAGGCAATCGGAACACTACGGAAGCCAGCCGCGCCGTTGTTGTCATTGTTCTTCGGGGAGGGGGAGTCTATAAAAACTCCATGCTGATAAAACGCGCCACATGGTGTGGAATACAGCTTCCTCATATAGATCATTCTTTTCCTTGTTTAGCCAGCTTTGTGCTAGAAATCGCCTAGGTGTGAGCTCTGCTTAGGAAATGGGAAAATGAACTTTCCATAGACAGTTTCGTAACATTTTTCTATAATTATCATAAACAGTCGCCATCACAGGGAGAACACTACACGGTGCGAGGCTGCGAAAACCACTTACCAGAGTGAAATATTGTGTAGTCGCGTCAGACAACGTTTGATCAGTGATTTTCGAAACAATGTCAGAACGGTACGGCGATTGCGTCTCGGTTTTCCCGTTTCGACATCCTTTCAATACCGTTTCAATATCCCGTTTTTTCAAAAGGATAAGCCCCTGGACCAAACGTTCCCTGGCCCAACTTTACATCGATCATTCAAAAACTTCGTGCTCAGGTCGTTCAAATATCCTCGGGGGAAGTAAGACGGCGGTGGTTCCGTACATCCCTTCAGAGGACGAGAGGGGGGAAAAAAGGTTGAGCAAAATGGTGGTTGTCTATTATGAGCCAGTGCTGAAAGGTGTCTTTCTGCCGTCGAACGCCGAAACCTCTAAAACTACTACTTAGTCGTGACATACATTTTAAAGTATTAATTGACAAAGTCGCTCACGCTCCGCGAGAACCATTAACTAGAGCCATTCAAAAAGATAGACGGTCGAAGGGGCCCGTTTTTTTAGTCGGACACTTTTCATTATCCTTGTATCACGGCGTTTTACGAACGTATGCAAAAAAAAAGAAGACGTCTGTCGGAATATCTCCAAGTAGGGTATCCACATGGGGAAAAATCTCGGGAAAAATGTATCCAAAAGTGTAGCAGTGCCAATTTGCTTTACATAAAGTAAACTTAAGGTATAGCAGATATTGGCCACTACTTGCTACACTTTCACTTCGGCTACACGTTTTTTCCATGGCTATACAACAGACCAAACTTGAAAAGGAAAAGTGTGTATGTAGTGGGAATGATCTTGTTTGGTCCACTTACGCGAGTACATGCGTGGATGTCCGCGACAACAATTAGTAATAGTATGAATAGTAATAATTATAATATCGCAAGAAAATCGTGAATTATCCGACAGTGACTCCACGTCAAACTCCATAACGTCAGTGTCCCCATGTGGAGCCAAGCTTTACATTGACACCTTTCAACAGCTGAAAGCGAGTTCTTCCGACACTATGTTAAGATTAAACAAAGATGAGACGGCCAAACAATGGCGAATAGTTTTTCGAGAATTTTATAATTGGAAGAATTAGCTTTACATAAAGAAACAAACGACCTGGGCATGACGAACACCTAAAAGTATTGCTTGGGACATCCGGCCAGTCTTGTCTGAGCCACGAACCACCTCAGATTCAAACATTGAAGAACATGTATTGCGAGCGCCGCTCTGCAGCGCATGGTATGACGTAATTACTAAGGAAAACGGTAACGACATTAGTAAAAATGATATCTTCTCGAGAAAAGAAAACAGAGAATCCCTGAATCTCAGCTTTTTGGCATGGCCGCCAGCTTGGGAAATAGACACTCTGGTCACTGGCCCAACATTTCTATCCTCTGTAATTCGTCGAGCATCCAAAGTGACATCGGGCGAAAAATCGAAGTAGTCTATTTTCCAGGATGGGCCGAGAGTAGCTGATGGAATGAAACAAAGATAGATAGATATCCCGAGTGAGCTGCATATTATAATTAGTAATTAGAATAATAGCTCTACGGGTCACAACATTGAAAAAACGTTACAAACAAAACCACATCGAGCGCCTAAAAGGCATCAAAAATGGAAGAACAGGACAGTGCAATAGCTTTGCGTCTCTCCGCAATACTCCAGTTTTGTGATGATGAAAACTCGCCTACAGTCAGATCATCCAAGAGTTAAATTTACAGAATAAAGCTTAAAAATGGTAAAGAGAGAACGGCTTACCCGCTCTAGAAGAAAATAGTCGAAATCTCTCAAAAATCTAGAACAACTGACAAAAAAGTCTCACATTTTACAATTCGCTTCAGTTTAACTACAAAAAGTGCAATTTCACGAACTGCACAGGTTCGTCGTCTGAAAGGCGAGGAGGTAGACCCAAGCGGAAAGGACGGACTAACACTCGCACATTCTAGTTAACACAGAAATCACTTGAAAACTCTCTAGACTAGTGAGTAGCGAAGATGACGGCGGCGCACGTTCGATAGAGAGACCGTCTCTCTAACGGGCACCTCGGCCCACCCGTGTGGAACGTTATTTCGGACTTCAAAAAGTTCCAGGTTCCTGACCGCGGGTGGGACTTCCCAGCGAGAAATGACTGGTGTCAGAACGACATCGTTGCGACATCGTTTCGACATCGCTAAGACAGTCATTTGGTTCTGGGTTTGGCCAAGTTAGCGGGTGCTGTGCGACTCGTCTGGCGGCGGGGACACGTCGACTGAAGGCTACTCGTCGTGGAGATGGTTGGTCACAGCGAGCTAGTGCGCAGCTCCTCCTTGAAGGACCTCGTCAGGCTAGGCCTCTGCGGCGACCTCGGCGGCGCGTGCGTCTCCACGGGCACCGAGATGGTGACCCGAGTCTGCTCGGCCACGTGACGCCTTGGCGTGCTCGTCCCCGGCGGCCGGAGGATGGATACCGGGCTGGGCGTCGGCGTCGGCTTCGGCACGGGGTCCGAGGCCTGCCTCCGGATCGGGGGCGTCGCGACGCACGTCGGCACGACGGGGTCCGAGACCTGGCGTCGTATCGGTGGCGTCGGCACGGCGTCGGCCGCCCTCCTGCCGTTGCTGGTCACGGGGGTGGGCTCCGGGACCGAGGCCTGGCGCTGGGGCTGCCTGCTGACCTCGGCCGTCGAGGACGGCGCCGGGTCCGAGGCCTGACGCCAGAGGCTGGGCTTCGCCGCGGACGCGGATGGCTGAGGGTCCGAGGCCTGGCGCTGGAAAACGCCGAGGCAGCGGGCGAGGCCGAGGCTGAAGGAGGACTCGGTCGGGGCCGGGGCCGGGGCTGGGGTCGCGGTCGAGGTGGTCGCGAGGCAGACGTCAAACTCGGGCTCGGACCGGCTCCGCGTGGGCGGCGTGGTCACCACCATGCTGGTGTAGTCCGCGGAGAGGGGCCGCGCCCGGCTGGAGGTCTCCTCGCGCGTCCTCAGCGGCCGGCGCATCGAGGGGCTGTCGCTGAAGCTCTCACTGAAGCTCTCGCTGTCCACGCAGTCGACGTGTAGCGGCCGCTACAAGGACGCGCCCACGCCGGTGGTCTGCGGCGCGCCCGCCCGCCGCCGCCCCAGGCTCTTCCAGAAGCGGCGGTCCGCCTGCTGCTTCTGCTCACAAAAAATGGCATGTTTCAATCTCAATTTCTGAAGTTTTAAAGACTTTCTGTTTTAATTTTACGTTTCTAGGTCTTACCGGGTGTGGAGAGGCGGGCGCGTCGTCGGGACCGACGGCCATCTGCCGCGGTAGGGCGGCGGGCACGTCGTTGACGGCGTCCCTGCTGAGCAGCCTGGACAGCCTGGTGGACGGCTTGACGGCGGCGGGGTGCGGGCCAGGGTGCGGCGCGCACGGCGGCGCGCTCGCCAGGGGAGCCGTGATAGACGGCGTCGTCACAGTCATGGTGGACAGCTCCGCGGAGGCCGAGGACGCCGTCGTCGTCGCGCTGGCCGCGGGGGCGCTCGCCGTGGCGGCGCCCGCGCCGTCAGACTTGCCCCCTCGGCTCAGGAACGACAAGCTGTGAGATGGAGAGGACCCGCGTGAGATTAAAGTTCACACAGGCGCCGTCGTGGAGCTCGGCCATCGTCGCGGTCCTGGTATTCCTGGGGCACGGCCCGCGCGCCCTCTGTCCGAAACAACCCGCCCCCTCCCGTCACCCGTCACTCGACTTACATCTTGCCTCTTTTCGGGGTGTCCTTCGGCACGTCCTGGCGGGCCTGAAGGCGCCTGAGGCGGAGCCGCGTGAAAAAGCCGCTGCTGGGTGTTTGCTGTTGTGTCGGCCGATCGTCTTTGAGCTGTTGCTGTTGTTGCTTTCGCAGGGACTCTACGACTCTGTGACGCTCGCAACCCGGCCGGCCCTGTGGACATACAGGGTGGCCTTAGAGGAGGGAGGTTTAGGAGGGGTCGTATACACGAATCATGTGCCGCTTCAGAAGACGCGGGTTATATTATTGATTCGGGGGCCTGGCCTCCTTCGCCGAGTGCGTGGCTGATGGCGGATTTGTGAGAGGTACGAAAAAGTCACCCTGCCTTCAATTTGGGGGGTAACTTTGCCATAGCATCTGAACAAATTGTATCGTACAGCTCTCAGTTCGATAGGCCTAAGCGGGCCATGAAATTAGACCGTTCTTCTGAATCGTTCATGATTTGAGTACAGTCCCTTCGAAAGATAGAGAAAGACAGAGAGTGGGTGCGAGAAAGAGAAAGGTAGGGATATTGTAGAGAGAGATAGATAGGAGGCGAGAGAGAAAGAGATTTGGGTCTTGGATAGAGATGAGACGAGATGTTAAGAACTCAATGTTAAGAAAGACTACGAGATTTTAACAGGTTTCCTTTTAAAAAGACTGGTTTGCGTAGTACAATTATTCTTAAAATGAGATAAAAGAAGTCATTTAGAAGAATAGTTTAAATTTGTTTTTACGCGACGCATTATACTTTGATTGCAATTTTTATGTTTTTTTTAATATTGTTCATTTCATGTTACTGTCATGACTAATACCTACTCACACCAAAAGCGTTACAGGCTCGTCTCTAAAACCGTAGTCGGGAAGCATGAGACGATCGAAACGAAAACATCATGCAGAGGATTTTGGGGGAGGGGAGATTGCTCACACTCTCACATGCACGAAAGCAACAGGTTGTTGGCGAGATTGAGATAGGTGCAAGAATCGTGTGTGTTTGTGGTGATAAATAAAAACATCAACGATTGGAACAAAACTTCTCCGATTACAGTTTCTACGTGCCGCTTTTGAGAACCTCCTCGGACTGAAGAGGTCGTCGGAACGTCGTCGGAACGGTTATAGTTGTTGACCGGTCCGTCCGGACATAATGTAAGTGTGTTTACGATGTGTTAGTGAATGTTGCGATTTTCCACGTGTATGTGTGTGTGTGTGTGCATGCGCGCGCGCGTGTGTGTCAGTGCGTTTCTCTTGATAATGATTCTAATGTGACATTCAAGGATAAATAACGTTAGCGCCTGCCACGCGCTGGTTAGGCCAACCCGCCAGGCAGCTGTGTGAAGACGGCGGCCCGCCTAGAGTGCCCCAAGTGCGGGAACAGGCAAATTTTGTCTAGTGGCGGCGCGAGCATTTCAGGTGCCGAGCAGACTTTGCCTATGTTTACAACAGATTTGGATTACGCTGCCTGGAGGGGCATTAGTTGAAACCCGGAACTTTTCACTTCCGGCCCCAATCTCGGATATATGTCTAAAATGTTTAGTGTTTTTGTTTAACATTTTTTTAATCTAACAAATACGAACATTTGGGGGATAGTATTCCAAGATTGGAATCAGGAGTAAAAGTAGTCCGGGTGCTCCAATGCCCTTCCTTTGGCCGTGTCAGTTGTAGCTACAGCTGTGTACTGTGTACAGCTTGGGACGTACCAGGCTATAGAATGTTGTGCTAACTCGCAAATTTTTTATTGTTGGGGCAGATGTGGCATGGCATGTCGTCTGTCCGTTTCGCCCGATTTTGAGTTCAGGATGGGTGATTGAAGGGGTTTCGGAGTCGGGAGAGAGTGTTTTGTCGTGACGTGATCTCACGCAACGAAAGCAACAACAACAACATCAGCAAACGACAAACAGAAACACAGATTTGTCAGCCGGTAGCATGTAAGAGCGAGTAGGAAAATGGTGGGGGCGGCGGATAGAGATATAGAGAGACGGCGAAAGGGTTGTTCATTGAGGAGAGAGAAAGGATGAAGAAAGAAGTTTCTAAGCTTGTGCAAACGTGCGATGAAAAATGGTTCTGGTGAACAAAGGATCCAAGAGGGAATGCTAATCTCATCTTCAGTACAGGTTCATGGTGAGGAATCAACTGGTCAAACGTGTGGTGCACGCCAAAAGCAAAACTAGAAGAGGGAAGGTGCCTACCAAACATGTAGCTCGATAGCATTGAAAGCGATCGCGGAACCTAGCCGAGCACGTTCCCGACGCATTGAGAATGCTCCCTCCCCTACCCGGTCCTGACAGTGCGTGGTTCGAGAATAAAAGCCGCATAGAAACACTACGAGAGGGAAGGCAGTCGGGGCAGTATCCCTCACCGAGCCGAGGTGCGAGGGCGCCTCGGAGAGGACGGACGCGAGCTCGTCGCTGTCCGAGCTGGAGCTCTCGTCGGTCACCTCCGACGGCGAGGGCGTGTCGGCCGGCGGGACGCTCTCGTCCTCCTCGACGAGCGGCTCGAGCCGGCGCCGGGCCGCCGCCGACGAGCTGGGGAACAGGCGGTGCGCCAGCGCGGCCGAGGTGAGCAGCTCCTCCATGATGAGCTGCTCCGCCTCCTCCTCGGCGGTGAGCACGGAGGACGTGGAGTCGGGCGGCGAGCTCGGGAACTGCAATGTCGCAAAATTGAAGGAGTTACATAAATCCATTAATGTAAATTTTT